TTTCCATGATACTAAAATTGTACTCGTTCAAATGTATGGGTGACTAGATATTGGTAGTCAAGAGGAATCGGCAAAATGCATATTTGGATGTGTATTGAACTTGTTGTGAAGTGCTTGTTGAATTGTTTGATGAAATGTGATTTGACGTGCATATTTGAAATGTGGTTTGATTCACATGATTGGTATGGTGTGATGAAATGTGAGGGCTAGGAGTGGACCGTCAACCATTGTGATGGGGATTTGTTGCTTCAATATTGTTTCATTTTCCGCTTCGTTGATTAGTTCTAAATTTAGTAATTGTGCCTAATTTTCCCTTTGTTGAGCTTTTGTAAATTAAGTAACCTGGGCTTGTCTCATTTCTTTGAGCCGTCGTACATTATGGTGTTGGCCTTCCACGATTCCGTTGAGTGATGGTCCGGAATTGTATACACTCGGATTCTGTTGAGAGATGGTCCAAAATCCATTCTACTTCACGATTCCGTTGAGTGATGGTCCGGAATCGTATCCACTCGGATTCTGTTGAGAGATGGTCCGGAATCCCTTCTACTATGCGATTCCGTTGAGTGATGGTCCGAAATCGTATCCACTCGGATTATGTTGAGAGATGGTCCGGAATCCCTTCTACTCCGCGATTCCGTTGAGTGATGGTCTGGAATCGTATCCACTCGGATTATGTTGAGAGATGGTCCGGAAGCCCTTCTACTTCGCGATTTCGTTGAGTGATGTTCCGAAATCATATCTAATTTGGGTTTCATTTAGTGGCTGTTATGTATTGTACTCCGCGATTCCGTTGAGTGATGGTCCGAAATCGTATCCATTCGGATTCTGTTGAAAGATGGTCCGGAATCCCTCATACTTCACAATTCCGTTGAGTGATGGTCCAGAATAGTATTCACCTTGGGTTTTATTGAGTTTGGATTGAGATAGCTATAGAGATGTAGGCTTCGACCGAACTATGTTGCTTTAGCCTTGCATTTCGATGAGTGGTATGTGATATTAATGATTATGATGGTTGGCATTATTGTTTGATGTGATTACGGAATGATGTTGGTTTTGCTTATTGTAATTATGATATGCTTTGTGATATATGGTTGAGGCATAGCAATTTAGGTGATGAATATTCGATTGTAGTAAATAGTAAACTACGAATGGCTTGATCCCTATTGAGGGTACGTAGGTAGTCTAACGAGGAGGTTAGATGCAGCCATAAAGTAAACAAAAAATATTTACTTTGCAATTTGTTTCTCGAGTTGTGAATTGCCATATCCCGGAGGCGGGGTATGTGAGATATACGAGTATTTAATGACGTCACGTGTCGATTCTGGACATATGTCGGGATTGGGGCGTGACAGATGTAATTTATTTTTCTTATCTTTCGGAGACATCTGTATAAACCCCATCAGAGGGTAATAAAAAAAATTTAAAAAAAAAACGGCAAACCCAAAATAATAGGCTGGAATGTTATGTGGAGGGCCAAGGCCCATATGCCCAAAAAAGCCAGACCTTATGGCTTCAAATTTATTCGGCGCCCTGCCGCTATTATCACCAACCAGGTGATCAAAAGTACGCCCAGTACTCCAAAATTATTCGGCACCCTGCCGCTATTATCACCAACCAGGTGATCAAAAGTACGCTCAGTACTCTAAAATTATTCGGCACCCAGCCGCTATTATCACCAACCAGGTGATCAAAAGTACGCCCAGTACTCCAAAATTATTCGGCACCCTGCCGCTATTACCACCAACCAGGTGTTCAAAAGTACGCCGCTATTACCACCAACCAGGTAATCAAAAATACGCCCAGTACTCCAAAATTATTCGGCACCCGGCCGCTATTATCACTAACCAGGAGATCAAAAGTACGCCAAGTACTCCAAAATTGTTTGGCAGCCTGCCGCTATTATCACCAACCAGGAGATCAAAAGTACGCCCAATACTCCAAAATTATTCGGCAACCTGCCGCTATTATCACCAACCAGGTGATCAAAAGTATGTCCAGTACTCCAAAATTATACATGAGCATCACTCATGTCAATCATACATAAATATTCATGAGCATCACTCATGTCAACATTCATGAGCATCACTCATGTCAACATCCATGAGCATCACTCATGTCAATCAAAATAAACATTCATGAGCATCACTCATGTCAATCAGCTTCAAAAGCTTCATTTACAGAGCTCCAGTTTCGAGAGCTCCAGCTTCAAAAGCTTCATTTACAAAAGCTTCAGCTTCAAAGCTTTACTTGCAAAGCTTTACCTACAAAGCTTCAGTGCAGGGTATACAAATACCGCCTCCGAACAACCGCCACTTCGGCCTATACATGAATTCAATTTGAAGTCTCCAGCCAACATGCTCTATTGACTGAAGACTATGGGGACTACACTATGTACCATATATTGGGCCTGAACTGGGCCTCATGAAAAATACTTGGGGGACTTAGCCCATTATTTATGTACTGAGGAGCGAACCCTTATTCTATAAAAGGGACTCCCTCACTTTCATTAGAGAGCACCCATTATTCATGTACTGAGGAGCGAGCCCTTATTTTATAAAAGGGACTCCCTCACCATCATTAGAGAGCATCGCCGCCTGCCGAGCAACCACCTCGCCGTGAACATCAACTCTAGCCCATCACTTATGTATTGAGGAGCGAGCCCTTATTCTATAAAAGGAACTCTCTCACCATTATTAGAGAGCATCGCCGCATGCTGAGCAATCGCCTTGTCGCGAGCATCAACTCTAGCCCATCACTTATGTATTGAGGAGCGAGCCCTTATTCTATAAAAGGAACTTTCTCACTTTCAATGCCACAAACCGAGCCAACCAAGGCAACATAAGCCATAAGCAGAGCAGCATCGCAATATGTGCTACTTCTAGTTGAGCATCATTTCAGATTGGGCACCGCCTTATATTGAGTATCAGTTTTAGACGACATCTAGTTATTTCGGCCCACACATGGACTGAATTTCAAGTCTCCAGCCAAAAGACTCTCTTGACTGAAGACTTAGGGGACTACTGTTTATACCATACTTAGGGCCTCTGTATTTAGACCTCGTATAAATACTCAGAGGACTCAAATGTAATTATGTAATAAATGAAGGGGTAAATATGTAATAAGTGAGGAGCCCTTATTCTATATAAGGACTCATCACTCTCTTCATTAGGGGATGCCAATTCTTAGGCCATGGGGAAGAGTTCTCTCACCCTCATAAGCTCTCACCCTTTCATCCTCTCACAAACAGAGAAATACAATATCAGTGTGGACGTAGCCTAAACATTGGGGTAAACCACGATACATCTTGTGTTATTTACATTTCTTGCAGGTTCACGGTCGGACTTACGTTGTTCCAAGACCCCTCCGGTTTTGTGCATCAACAAACTTAATGCACAAATAGATGGAATATTAGCAAATAGGGTCTTTTTGGCATGTAAATCTCATTACGAAAGCTTATCTCTACTCTTGCCGAACCAAATGGGAAGAGCTTTTGAATCCGATGCGCTCACTCAACAAGAAAGGTCTTGACCTTGCCAACCAAAAAAAGAAAAAAGAGAATGAAAGGAGAAGAGAACTTCTTTGTAATTCTCTAGGAGTCGTGTTAATTTAACCTCGAATGCTATTAATAAATTCTACAACAATAATTCCAGGGACTCGAAAGTAATAACGAAAATGGCTAATCCAATAGCAGATTCCGCAGCAGCCACCTTTAAAACCAATAAAGCAAATAATTGACCTATCATCTCAGCCAAAGAAATGGAAAATACCAAAGAGTTCAAATTCAAATAACATTATTTCAATTGACATTATAATAAGAATATTTCATCCATTAAGGAGGATTCCCCAAATACCTACAGGAAAGATGATCATAAAAATATGTGAAATATTTGATAGGATCCATTTATGAAACATAAAATGTAAGAGAAATTCAAATGTTATTACTTTAGTATGATAACGAAAAAGCCCTTCCTAGCTACATAAAGCAAGATAATCAATGCAAATCTCGAACTAGCAAAAATTCACGCCATAAAAGGTAAAATCTCTACTCATATCCATCAGAAAATTGATATCCCGAAAAGCGATGAGTCGTTGATAATTATTTTTTTTAAGTGCTTTACATGTTGTCCAAGGTTTTGAGATAATGATTTCATTTTGTTCTAAAAGGAGGTTCTAATTCTTTTCAATTGAAAGCTGTGAAAAAGAAACAGCATATCCCTTAAAATCAGGATCATGTAAACGTTGTAGACTGTTGTTTATGGAGGCATCCTACTGAGAAAGTATACCATGAACTCATGAACATCCATCAACTATGAGTAATCGAATTCAGTTTTATTCACTAGGCTTTGCAAGGATGAGAGCAAAAAACAATGCAAAAGGAGAAAAGGATAATTAGTAAATCAACTAAGCATTAATAAAACCCTAAATTTATTTAGCTTCAACGGTCATAACTGATCATAATCATCATAAGCCATGAACAACAACTTAATTGCAACAATACTCAATCTAGTGATGCAATAGTACTCATCGTATATCATGGCTAATTGGTAACCTAGACTACCTAGTTACATCTCACCATAAATTTATTTAGTTGTTGTTAATCGTTAGGACTTAAGATATTTAAATTACGCAACATGTGATTCAAACAATTTTTTGTAAAAATAATCTTCAAATGAAAATTAATAAATAAAAATGTTTCGATTATAAAAGAAATTTTGTTGAAAATATTTGTTCGAAATTCAAATATTTCTATTTAAGGATATTTTTTTTTTAGAAAAACTAATGAAAATGGTTTGAAAATTTTAAGTTTTAAGGATAAGGACGAAATAAAAGGTAAAATGAATTGTACCGATATTGATTTTTTAATATAAAAATATAATTTTTCGTTAAAATGAACAATATTGAGAGTTTTTCGTTAAAGATTTTTTTTTTTTTTTTAGGATAACCCATAATACTATTTTTGTTAAAAATCCCAAAGAAAATAGTAAAGCAAAACTTCTTTATAACCAACGAGGGTGAAACAAAAGCCGACGCCGTCGTTGGTGCTCAAACCTTTCGCCCGCAGCACAAAACCTCCTCCTTTTTACACACCCAGCCTCCCCGCCTGAAACCCAATTTCAGCGGCGCCATCATCTCCGCCGCAGCCTTCCACTTTACGCATTGGTTCGTGCTCTCAACTTTTCATGGCTTTAGCAAAAACAATTGTACTTATTTTGCGGCAAAAAACATAACCCACTATTTCATGCTTTTGCAGCAGATGGATCAAATGGAGGCGCCAATTCTAGATGCCTTCGACGGTGGAACAGTAGATTTTGCCGCCAATGGTGCAGAAGCAGAGTCTTTCAAGCACCGGGTTGATGAAATTTTCGTAAATGTTGATAAGGTATCGAAAGCTCTAACCTGTTGATTACATTTACATATTGAATACTACCCGTGTAAGATTTTCTTCGTAAATTAGAAGTTTACTAATTTATGAGGGGAAATTGTTGAAGGCAAAATGAAATATATTTTGGGTTGGTTATTATGTAATTAGATGCTGATTTGTTATGATAATTAGTGTAATCTTGGTGGTTTTCAAGTTTAGAAAGTGCTTCCACGATTGTGTTTTTTCGGGTTTAACTTAAATTGGCGTCTCGTGTGATTGATCATGAGGTTTGTTTGTGAAGGTACAGACATTTATATAATGTTGTTGGTATTTCATGTTTTTTCTTGGGTTTTGCAGCTCGAGGAAAGAGTGAATGACATAGAGCAGTTTTACGCGACTACGAGTAAAAAGATGCCAAATGCGTGTAAAAGTAGCTCAACTGCAAAGGATAAAGATCAGACAAAACATGTTCCAAGTATTAAGAAGCAGCAGCAAGATGCAGCATGTAGGGAAGCAGCTGCTGCTAAGAGAATGCAGGAACTTATGCGCCAGTTTGGCACGATATTGCGTCAGGCAATCAACTCATTGGCTATCTCCTTATATTTTCTGCACTTGTATGTGTGCCTGATTACATTTTAAAACATCAAGAACTGAATTTTTAAAATTTGGTCAGTTTTCTTTTGAAAATTCTACTCTACTAATTGATAGCTCTCCCTTGCCCGAAAATTGCATGTAACTGTTGCTGTGCTTTTGAAAACATCTCATCCATGTGGGAAGTCTCGTAGTTATCTTCTGAATCTCTGTTAGCTCTGCTATAACATAATAGGATGTACTATCTTGGCTATAAGCTGAACCTACACTATTGAGAACCTTGAGTAGACGCTTTTAACTAAACATAATAGTGCATGGCTTTTTTGATCTGTGAGTTGTTTTTCTGATGCATATTTACTCTGGTCATCAGATTGCTCAGCACAAGTGGGCGTGGCCTTTTTTGCAGCCTGTAGATGTAGAAGGTCTTGGTTTAGATGACTATTATAAGGTAAAGTTGATTGCTTTTTCTTCAAAATTATGTTCTGGTTGGTATAAGAATTAATTTGTGTTATCATGAGTGACCCGTAGGAGAAAGGTCAGATTTTGAAACTCCTCTGCAAGGAAAGGTTAGATTTTGTGGTATTTGATTTCTTTTGTTGTCGGTTGAAAGCAACAAGAAGAAAAAGAAGGGCGAGGGGAGGTTCATCTAATGGAAATGCATATTAAGTATTTTATAAATTTACTTCTCTGACACTTGTGTAACTCCTTAAGACAATAACAGTAAAGTAGGATAATTGCCAATTGTATTTTATGACTTTGTTATAAAGATACTATCTACCAACTTCTAGCAGGCTTTTCTTACTTTCCTTATCAATCCCTGTACAAGATTCATGTGTTATCGAAGCATACCTTCTATATAAGTGTAAAACTAATCTGTTGTGCATCATGTTGTAGGTGATTGACAAACCAATGGATTTAGGCACTATTAAAAATCAAATGGAGGCCAAAGATGGTACTGGATATAAACATGTTCGGGAGATATTTGCTGATGTGAGGTTGGTTTTTAAAAATGCGATGAAGTATAATGATGACAGAAGTGATGTTCATGTTATGGCCAAAACTTTGATGGCAAAATTTGAGGAGAAGTGGCTCCAGTTTCTGCCTAAAGTTACGGAGGAGGTATATCCCAACATAATGATATGGGGTTCAGTTTTGTTGGGTTTGTACTGAAAGTAGTTTAGCATCTTGGTTAATTTCATGATAATTTTTAACTTTAGAGCAATATACTTTCAGGAAAAAAGGCTAGAAGAGGAGGAGGCAGAAGCACAGTTAAATATGCAACTTGCTGAAGATGCTGCTCGTGCCAAAATGGCTAGAGATTTAAGTAACGAGGTCTGTTAAATTAACCTTCTTATGTGCATATGATCAATATTGATTACAACCCTCCATAAGTATAAGATTATTTCCAATTTTGAAAATTACTACCTTATCATGGACATCTTTTAAAATAAATTCTATGATGTCTTCTTTGCAGCTTTATGAGATTGATATGCATTTGGAAGAACTCCGCGAAATGGTTGTTCAGAAGTGCAGGTTGTTCGGTGCATCTTCTCTTTTCAAACTATGTTTCCATATGCATGTTGACCCATTGAATGTAAATTTATTGTGTATCTGCTTCAGTAATGTGTATATGCGTTCTGCAGTCTATTTGTGTGTGCGTGTGTGTGCAGAGGGAAAGAGTGTATTTTTATGCATGAAATCCGTTGTAAGTGAATGCCTTTGCAACAACCATATCTTATTTTGTGAACATTGTTTCAGAAAAATGTCTACTGAAGAGAAGCGAAAGCTTGGGGTAGCCCTTACCAGATTGTCGCCTGAGGATCTTAGCAAGGCATTGGAGATTGTTGCGCAAAGTAATCCAGGTTTCCAGGCTACTGCCGATGAGGTGGACCTTGACATCGATGCTCAGGTAACCATTTTCATTATTGATCATCATCTAACCTCTCGTTTGTTCATATTTCCAAGTTCTTATACTATATTCATGCAGACTGAGTCTACCTTGTGGAGGTTGAAGTTTTTTGTGAGGGATGCTATTGAAGTTCAAAGCAAGAGTCCAGCAAGCATGGGCGGCAACACCAACAACGCTAATAACCACAACAGTGGAAACAAAACTAACAACATCAGCAACGCTACTAATAAGCGAAAAAGAGAGATTTCTGATGCGATCGTCAAAACTGCCAAGAAAAAGAGTAAAAAGCCATCTCCTTGATCATGCTGTGCCATGGGAGAGAACATTAGGTTGCGCTTTCTGTCTTTTTATTTTATTTTCATCGATTTTTGTTCTGGCAACTTAATTTTTTCGCATTTGACCAAGTTTTGTTCGTAGTGCTTCATTTCACATTTTAGTTTATGCATCATCTAATGACTTATGAGTGGTGTATGTAAATCTGTATGATCTCCTAGTCCTAGACATGATCGAATTTGGGAACAATGTGAATCTACAAGTTGGACGTACGGTTCTTATATATATATAAATTTCCAGTCGCATAATGTTTCGTATTTGCTGTACTATGAAATTTGATTACACGTTCTCAAGGAGTTCGTTGTTTGTTTAAACGATTAAAAGTGTTTATCCATACACTTATTTTTCGTGTTCGATTTCTGTTTCCACAATATTGCTTGGTTGAAACCCCATATTCCGACATATTGCGTACTACATTTAGGAAAAAGTTGAGATTTTTATTTATTTTTTGCTACTAACTAGGGAAAAGTTGAGATTTATGCAAGTCCTAGTGTAATGTACGTGGACTAGTTTAGTTGATCATGGTACTATGTGGGTCGTTGTGGAATAATTAGCTAAACCATTGAGATTTGTTGCTATTTGTGCAAAATTTGTTAAAAATTATGCCAATCAACGATTATGTGTAATTAAGAATACCTTGATGCAACAACGACTATTAAAACATTTTGAGAATTACCATTTGCGCTGGATTTATTCCAGATATATATTAGTCGCTAACTATGAATCTAGAGCAGAATGTGCGGCTCTTTGTCCGACTTTTAAGAATAATTTACATTTTGCACGACATTCATTAAAGATATATACCAATTAACGGTGAGTTTATATGAGTATGTTTGTCTCTTTGTACCGACAATTTAAATAAGTTGAGACTTGTTACCTTTTGCGCTAAATTCATTAAATATTCATAGCAATCAACAATTACGAGTTTAAGACAGTATGCGCGTCTCCTTGCAACGACTTTTTAAATATTTAAAAATTAGTTACGGTTCACGCGATACTCATTAAAATTTTTACACAAATCAACGATTATCAGTCGCCCACCTCAAATCTAATATAATGAAATCCAAAATCTAACACCAATAATTTCTAATAGGAAAGCATTTCTGTGTCCATAGAAAAAAGAGGGTAACAAAGTCTATGATCCACACCACTGTATGAAAGCAGGTCAACAAGAAGCCGCCAGTCGTACAGCCCAAACTCCATAGCTGCTGAGCTGCAAAACATGCAAGACAAAGGGAAGAAGAAACCTCAGATATCGCTACTTATACAAACCACCTACGACATCAAGTGATTGTGTTTCGTCGTACCTACGACTCCCAACCCGTCCAATCAGAGGCCGCCAGCAAAACCCAGCAGTGCAAGGCCTGCGCTGAATCACCCAATCCCAACCCGGATTCATACGCCGAGACCAAAATACGATTTTGATAAACCATTGAAATCCGCCGCGTAACGGTCGACCAAGTCTGAGTTTTTAGGTGGGCACTGATGGCAGCAGGACTGAGCTGCTGAGTGGAAACCCAACGAGGTAAATTGGCACTCTCGACTATGTCAATTCGAAAAATGGAGAATTGGGTTTTGATTTGATTGAAATTTTGATTTTTGGTTTGAGATTATTATTGTTTTCGGGTTCGGGTTCGGTTTCGGCTCGATTTTGGTGGAATTTGCGAATTTGGAGCTGAAATTGGTTCGGTGATTGCTGTTTGGTGGTTGGGGGCAAAGAGAAATGGATGTGGTGGCTGAGTGCAAGGTAAAATTGGTTTGATTTCTTGTGGTTTAACTTCAAATTGTGTGGTTTGTTAATGTAATGTGGCATTGTAATTGCATTCTGAATTATCATTTGAGAGAGAGAGAGATAGAGGATCAAAGTCTCATGCCATTCTGAATTGGACATTTGAGAGAGGGGGGGGGGGCGGTTGGAGAGAGAGGGGCGGAGAGGATCAAAGTCTCATGCTTTCTGTTCTGTATAATCGAGAGAGAGGGGGTTTAGGGAGAGGGGAGGGATCAAAGTCTCATGCTTTCCATTCAGTATAATCTATTTTCGTGATTCAGTTGTTAGTTTCTTATATCGATATTTGTGCTGTACTAAGAAGTTCACATGCCATTATGTGTGAGTGTATGTTGTTCTTCCCTTCTCTCTGATATATGTCTAACCTCCAGAGAAAATTGGCATCCTTTCGAGTCAAAGAGCTTAAGGACGTTCTGACTCAGCTGGGCATGTCAAAGCAAGGGAGGAAACAGGTACGTTGTTATATATATATATTAATTGGTCTGCATTTGCTTAACGTGGCTCTCATTGGTCTCATGTCACTGAAAATTGGTGGCTCCTAGCTTTTTTTTTCGTTATATCCTTATCTGCTCATGAATATAGTCACCTGCTGTATGAGTGTACTATGAAAGGATTCATTGTCTACACAGGACTTTAACGACTGAGACTTCGTATGCATGCCAGAAGATGCCCATTTTTGTTTACTTCTAAGCATGCGATCTTTGTGGGGTCATCTTTCAATAACTAATTCCAAATGATTGAGAATAGTTTCTTTGATATGTGCTGTCCCAATCATTCTGTTTATTTATCATAATTGGTCAGTCTTGCATTGACATACTGTTTTAAATTTCCTTAGTTTTCGATTGTAGCTCTTAATCAGACATCTTTTAACCACTTAGTTACTCATTGTTATTAGAAGTTTAGGCATTATTATTTAATGTTTTTATGTTTTCATCTATGTTTAACAGCATGTTGAGAATCATTGATTCAAAACCTCATGGCTCACACACATCCATTGAGTGATAAAATGTTTTTGTTTAATCATATTTTGTTACACGAGGTAAACTATATTTTGTACTTGTCTTTTCTGTGCAGGATCTGGTTGATAGAATCTTAGCAGAAGTTTCAGATCAACATAGTAAGTTCTTCAAACAACTTCGTCATCCACACAATTAGTTTCAGATTCTGTGGTCATTGTCCCTCTTGAAAAATGCAATAGTCGACTATGACTACAACCCAAAAAGTATTGCATCCTAGTGTCACTTATAGTGGTTAGGCGTTTAATACATCCAGGGTGTTTACAAATTTTAGTCTGAAATATTCATCTGCTGACCAGGTTCTTCATAATTGATCAAGAGTCCCTGTTCATTGAGTGCTTCATAAAAAATTAGATTAATCTTCATTTACAGGGTTCTTGGCAGCATCCAATGCACTCCATTCATCGAAGAAAAAAATAATTGAGAAGAAAGGAGTTGCAGAACTGATTGATGAAGCTTACAGGTGCTACTTTACTTTAGTGTTTTTGTATATGTTTTATCCTGTTAAGGTTTTGCTTTTCCTCTTTTTAAGTTGCACATTTTTTGGGGCTAATTCTTTATTCTATGAAATGTTTTGCGGTTACTGATTACAAAAAGAGAATTTGTGATTGAAGTCCCTTTTTTTGTATCTTCCTTGTATCATTTTTCTGTGTGTTTGGAAATCTTTATAATCATGTTCTTCTCTCTATCTCATGGCCTTTTAATTGTTATATTATTGTTTTGTCCCAGAAAATTGCCGAATACATCGTCAGCTGATTCTGCTTCAAAGGAACAGAGTGGTTCAGACACCTGCAGTGTGAAACGTAAAAAGGAAGTTAAAACTTTTAAGGATCCAGATGTGAAGATTTGCTGCCCCTGTGGAAGTGCATTGTCTAATGGGTTGATGATCCAGGTTCGGTAGCATTTGCTTTAGTTAGGATCATACAAATTCTATTTAGTTTCATATGTCGTATTGGCTGGATATTTCTTCAGGTTTGCATGACTGGCAGGAGCATTTCAGCATTCATTTCATATTGGATTCAAGTTGTTTTCTAGAACAACTCAGAAATCTATGGACAATACCTAATTCAGGTATATGTTATCTGCAGTGTGTGGACTCAAGTTGTCAAGTGCAGCAACATCTTGGTTGTGTTATTATTCCAGAGGAAACAAGGGATTTCAATATACCAGTTCGGCCTCTATTCTACTGTGAACTGTGTCGTCTCAAACGAGCAGACCCGTATGTATCGTGCATTTTTCAATTTTAACTTAATTGAGTCTTCAATCTGAATGAAATATAGTTTCAACTGGGCAAAACGATATTTGGTTTTGCAACTTTTACCACATGAGAGGTAAACTTTATGATTCATTTTCAAAGGCATGATGCCATGATTGATGGTTTGAAACAGGCATTTACTTGTGTTTAATATGTGTTAAATTCCTTATCGATGAAATATAGGAAGGTTATTGAATATGAACTCTACCACTCATTCTATTTTATTCACTTATGCTGGAACTTAGGTTCAAGGTGACAAAGGTGTTTTTTATTTATTAAGTTTGTTGGGTTAGCCCATTCGATTTTTGCTTTAATTTTAGTTTCCCCCCAATGAGGGGTCCTTGATATTTTTGCATCTGTTCCAACTGCAGTTTTTGGGCAACTGTGGTAGATCTACTATCTCCGGTGAAACTAGTTACTTCAAATATTCCAATTGATGGGTAAGTTTCTCTCTGTCTCTCTGTCTGTCTCTCTGTCTCTCTCTCTGTCTCAAGTAATCCATTCTGTTGTATTTTGTTTTAACATGGTTATCAATGTTTTCAGTGCAAATCCTACTCAGAGTGTAGAGAAGACATTTCTACTTTCTAGAGCTGATAGAGATCTACTAAAGGATAATCAATATGATGTTCAGGTTTGTTTCATTTTGGTTATGCGATAAGTGATGGTTATATATATTGACCAGTTGTGGTCATTTATTGATGGTGTACTTTGAAAATTAGTTATTTATGTGTTTTGTTTTATTTTTTTTTATACAGGCTTGGTGTATACTTCTTAATGATAGTGTTTCATTTAGGATGCAATGGCCACAGTTTGCAGATTTACAGGTCAATGGTATGCAATTTGGTCATCCTTTCCCACCAATTGATGATACATAAATTTTACCTGGACAGTTTTTTCTATGAAAAATGAAACGAAATGTGACCACACTATCTGCATTTCTCTGTCCTCTCTCTCTCTCTCTCTCTTCCCCCCCCCCCTCTTTTTCCCCCTCACCCCTCTTTTCCCCCCCTAGGAAACTGTACTATTAGGTATGTCGGCTGGATTGGCTGACTTGTGAGATAGATAAGATGAAAATACCATTTAGTAATCCACATGAAGCTTTGTCTTGCAATGGTCGTGACCTCTATTGTTTGTTCTTGATTTCACAAATTTGATGTTCTGCATCCACGTACTGTGTAAAACAGTATACTTGAAAAATACATGTAAGTAGCTAGGCAGCCTAGGCTAGTTATCCTCCACTCCTGAGGCCAAGAAATAAACTATTGCTGTTTACTGAGTTTGTATGATATTGGGCAGCTTGGATGACCCATGAATTAAAGTTTTTGGTACTACAGGCTGGTGGGGCCTACTATTGTTTTCCCTGTTTATTTTTGTCAAAGTGAAGGAATCCCCAATTTCAACTTACATTTCAATTTGTCCTTTATTTACAGGTGTGAATGTTAGGACAGTGAATAGACCTGCACATCAATTGTTAGGTGCCAATGGTCGTGATGATGGGGCGTTAGTGAGTATTTCACTTCTGATTTTTATATGTTTATGTGATTGCTGATCTCATAATTCTAGGATTTCACTTGTAATCCTTGCCTTGCTCATTGTTGATAGAGATTAAGGCTCATTTGTCATTCCTTTAGTATACATGTATTTTTTGGATGACCATGCATTGTATCCTCCATTTTGTTGTAAAGTACTATACTTATTTGGTTTATGCTTCCTTAATTGTTGTGTACTTCATTTGTAGCTACTTCTGGTGGTTGTTTTATAGTTTTTAATTTTTCGTATTATTAACATTTAAGTGTTTAACTTTTCATTTCAAATAATTAGGTCCATGCATTCTAAGAAAATGTGTTTCAGTTTAATTTGATTTATTTTCATGTCAGATCACAATATACACTGGGGAGGGAATCAATAAGATTTCGCTATCGGCATGTGATAATCGTGCTTTCTGTTTAGGTGTCAGACTAGTAAAGCGACGAACAGTTCAGCAGGTACATCACTGATTCTTCATTTAAAGTGTTTTCGAAAGATAATAACCTAAGTCCTGGAACATATGCTGGTGAGTAGAGCTGGTTAGCTCACTCAGTAAGTTATGTGGATGGTACTTGTGGATGGATGCAATGCACCTAATCTGTAATCTGCTGTCCTTGGCACTAGATTCTCAGGACTCGGAAAAGAAAATTGAGTATGTACATGAGAAATTCCCATAAGCATGAATATACAGATATCTTTTTTGGACCATTATTGATCCCTGAAAAAGTAGAATCAAGGAAACATTATTGACCAATGAAATAATCTGAAAATTCTGAGAATACCATTCAAGTTCAAAGTATTAAATTCTGAGAAATACCTGTGTTGAAAGGAAGATATGCAAATCTGGATAGCATGTCAGCTCACCAGCTGTGTTTCTCCTTTATTCAACTTTTTTTTATCCAGGTTCTCAACTTGATTCCTAAAGAAGAAGATGGTGAGCTTTTTGAAGATGCACTAGCACGAATTCGTCGTTGCATTGGCGGTGGGCCTGCTGTGGCAGCTGAAGATAGTGATAGTGACCTGGAAGTGATTTCAGACTCAATATCAGTAAATCTCCGCTGCCCTGTAAGTGATGGTCGTTTTCTTTTGATATTTTCACACCCTTTAACTGCATGCACTTGTTAATGTTAAATTTTATAATGTTTAGATTCTTAGAATGCTAGGATGAAGCTTGAGGCTGCCCATAAATATTGAGCTTTTGATATTTTTATTTTTTATAATATACACCTTAGAGGAAAACTAAGGCTTATATCTTAATTTGGAACTTCAGAAATGTTGGGAGAGTAGTCTGTCTGAGGCATTAGGTCAGGTTTCCTTGTGCCTATCTTGAAGCGTGGTCCACGGAACCGTTAAGTCCTAGGGATTTCCTGGTGACCATCCCCTTATCACGCCCATAGACCCATTGTTTCTCAGCATAACATAGATCGTACGACCCTTACTTCATACTTGTTTTCTAAGACTATTTGTTATTACATTCATACTGACAAGGCTTGCCTTCCTGCTAGCCAATTAATTATAAGAGCACAAAATCAACCTTGGCTAAACAGGCTGGTTGATCCCAATGAAAAATGTACAGCTTACAGTCCTTAGCCACGGGCTGCGGATCACAGACAATGGGCTGCAATTTGCAGTCTGATACCAAATTGACACACCTTGACCCGGAATATCCAACTGGACACCCGAATCGAGCTGTGTTGGCCGTATCCCGGAAGGTGATGAAGCCATAAAGTGATGGTGATGTGGAAAGTGCTACTAATTTAAACCTAAAGTAACTAATTCTAGAGTGCGCATGTGAGTGGGATCTACCCGTTTCACACAAGTGATGTTTAGAGCAAAAGTAAATTGCAGTAAAATAATAGTAAGGACATTTATACCGAAAGGAGAAGTCTCCTACATAGTGTATATAAGCCTTGTTTGTAGTGTAGAGCTCATAATAATGCTGTCCATAACATAATGTTTACATGTAACCATCAGATGAGTGGCAGTCGAATGAAGGTAGCTGGCAGATTCAAACCTTGTGCCCACATGGGTTGCTTTGATCTTGAAACTTTTGTGGAGCTAAACCAACGCTCTAGGAAGGCAAGTGATACAATAAACATATAAATTATTATTTTTTATTATTACAAAATCTGCAAATATGCAAAATGGTGTATTATGGTTGCAGTGGCAATGTCCTGTATGCCTGAAGAACTACTCTGTAGAGGACGTAATCATTGACCGTTATTTCAATCGCATTACAACTATGGTAATTCCTGTAACGATCAATCTGATTTTTTGTAGTGTCTCTGAAATGTTGTGGAACCAAAGACATTTCTTGTTATTTATCTGGTGGACAGATGCGAAATTGTGGAGAAGACATAGCAGAGATCAATGTAAAGCCAGATGGTTCTTGGAGTGCAAAGACCAAAGGTGAGTTTGGTGATCTTGCGCAGTGGCATTTGCCCGATGGATCTCCATGTGGTGATAGTGGTTTAGAACCCTCGAGGAAGTTGAAGCTGGAATCTGGTTTAAACGAAGATAATGGAGTGAAGTATAATTGGGTTACTGAAGTTCGTGGGCATCAGCCTGACACCTTAGAGGAAGTATTTGAGGGCTGTAGTCACAATGTGATAACAATGAGCAGCAGTGACTCCAGCGGGAACCTTGATTTCTCTGTAAATGAGGACAATGAAATCAATTCTGATCCGACATTTTCAAATAAGAATGGTGATTCTGCTGAAGCTGGGAATGCTGACGTCATCATTCTTAGTGACTCCGAAGAAGAAGATGCCAATTTAGTTTCTTCTGGAACCACCTACAGTACATTTCCAGTAAGTGGAACAGATCCTGGGTTCCAATATTTTGGTAATGTCTCTGGTTCTTTCATTGATAGCACATTGGTTCCAGCGGATCTAAATCCAAGCAGCCAAGTTATGAACTCTTCTATGTTCCATGCTGATGCTGGATTGGACTTGATTGAAAATACCTTGCCCTTTGCTAGTGAGGACCCCTCACTGCAAAATTTTCTTCCAACTCAGCCCTCGGCTTTGTTGGAAGAGTGTGATTCTGGCCAACATCCTCCAGAATCAAACGGCATTAGTGGGGACGACTGGATCTCTCTTCGACTTGGCAGGGTTGATGAAAATGTTCCCAATGCCTGCCCTGAACATGTATCCACACATGAAGTACAGTTGAGTAACGAATGTGGATCAGATGAAGGTAAAAATTTTGCCCTATTTAACTTTGTAATTGTTGGAGCAAGATTTTACTTAAATGATGAAATGCTCTAAATATTTATATTTTGTGTGATTGTAATAATGCTTTAAATAATTGCCAGTTTTGATTCATTTTTTTCCGCTGATGTTTCATATTATGAATCCTTTGCAGCTACTCCTCTAATTAAGGATGGAACTGATGAAGTTAGGTCTAACAAAGCAAAGTCACGGAAATTTTCAGACGGACCTTTCTCGTTTCCTCGTCAGCCAAGGACTTTGAGGCAACGAGTGTATCTACCAGTAGAATCCAACTCTGAATAGAAAAAGTTGTTGCTTGCTTGAGGTACATTATTCAGTTTTCATAGTCTGCTTGGGTTGTTGATTCTGAATGTTCTCATATTTGTTATTTATTTATTCATTATATAGGACAGGCAAACCCTTTTGGGTTTGTAAAATCAAGGTTTTGGCCATTCCTTTTCACTGCAAAGTTGTTTTTAAACCACTTTGTTTTGTGCTGATCGTAAATTTAAAACCTCGCTGTTGACATGATGAATTTCAGTTCAATAATGTTGATTTTGACATGTCGATATCTCAATTACCTAGAGAGGCATCACAAAGTAGAAGTCAGCTGAATTGCATGTTTGTGCGCGCGTGCGTGTGAGCATGCTTGTCTTGGCAAGCCTAGAGCTAGATGCATTCTCTGACAGTATTTCTTTGCCTTCTCAGGTAACTTATTTGCGTCGACTTGGTGATATTTTGAAGTTGCAGAAGCATCGATCCCTATCCAGAAATTTTTTACAATTGGACATAGCAGAAGTTTCACCATTGTAACATATGCAGCGGTCCTCTCTCCGTACCACCTAGAAAGGGTTCAATCTGTAAATAGAAGGGGTTCGATCTGTTAGGGTTTTTTGTTGTAATGTACTGTTACTAGCATCCAATGCTTGTTCCTTATGGGAGTAGCAGTGAGCAACCGTTGCATTAGTGACGCTGGTTGTTGGACTTACAATAAAATTGCGAAATTTCGGTTTACATGTTTGCCCAACCTTTTCCCTCTGCAATAACTTTAGGCGGAGATACAGGAACAAGAGATGGTTTCAAATAATGGAGTCATGATTTCATCTAAAAAAACTTCAACGGAATAATTCTTCAAGCACCTAGTGGGCCCTGCTGATTCTTGCCGACATTTTTCAAAAGCTTATGCAGATGTATGTCGACAACTACTATGATTTGTAGAGATTTGTTGAGAGCAGTTGCAGGAAACTGGCGAGTAATGTTGAAGATTGCCAAATATAGGGGTCAAATTCAAATGCACAAACAATTATGCATAGGGATTTTGAAGTTGTTCGGGTCATGGGCAACTAATGATGTCATGTTGGCTCCACCAACTGTATACAAACACGTACATACGTGCAGTTTGGGGTCTTCCTGGCATATTACTGTATATACGCATATCCACTACAAGCAAAACGATCTTTTTACATGTAAAATCTCACTGTCCCACAACAACACATTCTCCCCCTCTCGTCGCTGTAAAAGTTAGTTTCATTTGAAAGAATTACTAATGTTGAAATGACTCCGTGCAAGTAGAAGATGGAAAAACTGAGTTCTACATCGTACGAAATAAATTTAACTTGATAGTTAGACAAAAGAGTCAAGTTTATGAGTTCATAACTTAGATAGTAAAGAGTCAATTCTTAAAAATTAAGGGCCAACAAGAAGTTTTGATCGAGTACCTAAAGTAACGAAAAGAGAAGAAGAAGCAAGGACTGAACTCAGCTTCGAATACTATATACACACACACACAATACAGCCAAAAATACACAAGATAGAATGAACGTATACAAGTATGTACACGTATGCATATACATATGTTTGACTGAGCGATTTTATTTCATTACAAATTAAGCATCGATCAGATCAGTAGCTATATACTAATCATGATTAGTGGAAATGCATGCATGCAGATTAGTACATTTGTGCATGAAATATAGTGAATGATATAGGTAGAGACTGTTGAGCTAGCAACAGAGGCCACTGCAGATGCCAAAAGGCAAGAAGTTAATGGGAACGCAAACACAGCCGAGCTGGCAAGGGGCCACTACAGAATTGCATGGGGAGCCTCTGCACCCATTGATCATTGACACTCCCTCTTTTCCTTTTGTTTTTCCTTTTGATTCTAACTTGTCCATCATCCTTGACATGATCAATTCCTCACTACTTCTGCCCTTCTCGTTGTTCCTAGTACCTGAAATAGCCACCCCACTGCCATTGTTGGCATCAGTCTTGGCATCACATCTGTCGTCGACGCTGGCGCCACATTTGGTGTTGATCTCGGCGTCACATTTGGCATCAGTGGTGGCGTTACACTTGGCATCAATGTTGGCTACTTCAATGTTCTTGCGGTCGGCAAAGGCAGTTGTAGGAAAGGTGGACGCGATAAGAACCACCATGGCCACCACCATCACACAATATGCCTTCATACTCATCGCCATAACCATTTGTGCGTTTGTGTGTACGTAATTATTGTATGCATGCATGCCTCTCCTTCGAAAGCACTTATTATTTATAGCCATGAATTATGAAGATGATAACCAATTAGGAAGTAAGATACTACCGTACGGCAGCCTAACTTAGATACCATGTCCACAAAAACAAGTAAAAGAACAGTATATATCCATGCAATCTTCGTGCATGTATTCTTTTGTTTTTGTGGATATTAACTACGCCATGCATCTTTCATGAAATATGATGTAACTAAAATGTATACATAACTTGAATTTTCCATAATTTTAGTACTTTAACTGATTTCAGTTGATATTTTTAAACAATGCCTACAAATACAAGTTGTGGCTTAATGAAGTGTGAGAGAAAAAAACGATGAAGAGGTTAAGTTCGCTCTTATTCAAGAAAGTTTCTAGCTCCGTCCATACACTCATATTTGTCATGTGTACACATTAACATAATATTTGTTTGAATTGAATAAATCAAAAGAGAATCGAAAAAACAAAAATAAACAATGATGTGAAGAAGGAGAAAATAGTGTTCAACTCACTGGAGGGTCTGAAGGCACACTTTGGCTGTCTCAGATTTCACCTTGGGATGTCTCATTCCAACGCGATAGAAGACGATCAGTCCTTGATGCCTATAAACTACAAAAAGAAGACGATCAAGTGGCACTTTGTATCAAGGACTACAAAAAGAAGACCTAAGAGGATTTATTTGTCTATGAACGATTGTAAGTTGAGATATGTGACAAAGCTTCGATACAAAGGGCTATAATTAGATTTGAGACATGGCTCGACAACGGTTCGAGATCAACTCCAGGCCACCTTCCACAGTTTGACAACAAAAAAACAGTTTACAATGCATTAAGTTTTGAGGAGAGCTAGGGTTGCTGAGAAATCAAGCATCTCTGTGGCCCTTCTTACTCGGTTCGAGCCTCCCCGCCCCTCAGAATTCTATTTATTTTATAATAAAAAAAAAACATTTATAAAGAGTTTACAATGAGATTTTTCAGAGAATAAATTAGTTGCGAATTCATCATGTTCGAAATTTAAAATCTCTCCCTTACAACAAGTGAAGAGAAACATTACTAATCCGTAATATTTTTTTTAACAAACAATATTATCTACACTAAAGGGATGGGGATGGACTAGGCCACCTCACACTGGGCTAGCCACAATAACGTGGTTCAAATTCGCATTTTGGTGATAATCGAATTTAAGATCTCTTACTTACAAGTGAAAAAAAATATCACTAGACCATAACTAGATGCCACTAATCCGTAATACTTTTTTTTACAAATAATATTATCTGTATTAATGAATACGGAGTCAGCTAAATCTCACAATAAGCTAATAAAAATAAATTTGACAAAAAAAAGAGAGTAGGTTTTATAAAAATTAGAAAAAAGAAAACAAATGAAATTAGGTGACCGAAAAGTGCCCTCTCTCTGTAGGACACAAACACAAGTAGGCGAAGCGAAGGTGAGTGACAAAACCACAAACAAGTTGCAATCCGTTTGGCGGAAGACAACGCAGTTCGGTCACTTCCTTTGTCCTCTCTCTCTCTCTCTCTCTCACTTTCACATAATCTACCAGGTAAGGTAATTTCTCCTTTCTCTTTGTTTCATTTCTGCTCTCTGTAAAATCTCGTCTGTGATGGTTCAGATTTCTCAATGGTGCCGATTGATGGATGTCACTGTCAGGGTGTTTGAAAATTTTGTATTCTTTTCGTTCTCTTGATAAAAGTATAAAGAATGAATTGGCTTCTGTTTTCTTGGTTTCCCAGATAACAAAAGTTTTGAAATTTAACCCAAGGTTAAGATTTTAGTCATAATTTAGGTGTGTTTTTACTCAGCAGCTTAAAGATTGAATCTTTTAGTTTGATTTGGGTTCTATTGAAATTTTCTTAGCAACCCAATGGCAATAGGTTCTAGTGTTGCTGTTTTCCTGAATGTCAGCAGAGCTAACATGAGTAAACCTAGCTGCAAATGGAGATATGGTGTTTTTTCTTGCAATTCGTAAACGGGGCGGTGTAGATTTCGATGGTTCTATGAGTTGATACATGGTGAACATTGTAGGTGAAATGGAGAACCCAGAAGCAAATCAGCTTCCTGAAGTTGATTCTTTGCCTGATGGGTTTGTTGTGAGCTCCCCAGAGCCGCTGGCTCCGGCAACTCCAACCGTAGAACAAGAGAAGCCGTTGGGTAACAACGAGAATGATAATTCTACAGAAAGGGATAGTTCAAAGGAACCTGTAGGTGAATCGGCTGCAAATGAGTTTCAGCCAAGCCAGGATAGGGCAGAGAAGACTCAGAAACTGAGAACGTTTCCTGTTCTGTTGTCTGAAACAGATAGTTCTCATGTTTCAGTAGAATCAGTTCAGGTTCCCAAAGATGCCTCTGCCGAGCAGACAGAAGAAGGTACACTCGTCATGCCTGATTCATCTGTTTCTGTTTCTGAGGCTTCGGTTGGGCTATCTGTAGGCGGTGAGGTAAAGGAGGAACAAGTTGAAGCAAGATGTCAAAGTTCAGAGAGACGTAAGTATCTTGACCCTGTGATTTCCCTCTTAAAGAAATTAACTCAAAATGTATACTTATATTTGTAAGTGGTCCTTTTCATTTGAGTTTTTGATATTTGTTTGCCACCCGTCTGTTATTGCCTATCAGCAGCTGAAGGAGGCTCAGATGCGTCACCCACCAATTTGAAGGAAACGTCCTCATTGGAGAGTGTTGGAACTTTGAAAAACAGAAACAGTTAGTATTACATATCACTAGATCTCTTTTTAGACTCTATCAATTTGTGTGCTTGACCTATGCCAAAAATCATGTGTGTTGTTTTCTTGTCTGAGACAGATTTATATGATGCTATCTTCAGTCAAAATGTTATATATGTGAATCATCAATACAGTTACCGAGTTGGATTAAAATTTTCCTCAGGAATCCACTGAAACCAAACGTAAGAGTGTAAAGCGTACCTTTAAATCTGAAAAGGAGTTCATAGAATTCACCTTGAAGTATCAACAAGCTCTTGCTGAAAGAGATTCGGGTATGTCGAGATAGCTATGCTAATGTTTACAACCGAAACTTTTCATAACATATACTGATGTGTACACTTCCACTATGGGGTTATTGCCGAAGAAATCATATCTTTTTTTCTAGTAACATTGAAATTTTGTAGGTATTTAAGTATACTGCATGTATGTGGTGCTATAATAATTGATCCAGAAATGGATTTCTTACACTTATGATGTACTATCCCGTGTCACAAATTTTCATGAAATAGAAGAATGATATGAATCAAAGCTTCGAAATTCCCAATTATTAGTAGCTAGATAGTAAAAGTTAATTGATTATGTTGATAACCTTAATTTAACAGTATTTTCTGAACGAAGGATATAGCCTTCGTGAAGCCTTAGTGGAGTGACATTTTTATAATAACAATTATATCATGAGCAACATTGTAGAGAATCTTAATAACTAATTACTTGCATCCTTTTTTTCTTTCTAGCCATTTCTGTTCGAGATAAGCTTGAGTCCTTGTGCAGGGAGTTACAACGCCAGAACAAAGTATTAATGGTATGCTACCTCTTGACTGACTGCATATCCTTCAAATGATTGTTCTGCAAACTTCATATTTGTCTAGGTTCTGATTGACCATGAAAACTTAACTTTCTATTAATAGCCATAGGATGAATCGAAGTAGAGGTGTAGCCCTTGTACAGTACCCACTTTTGCATACCATGACGAAGTCCACTTAACTATATTGTAGGCTTGAAACCAAAGTGTCAAGTTTCCCTCGATGACATCTTTTCTCATTGATTTTTTATTTTTAGTAAATTAGAAAAATTTGCAAAAAGGGAGCTGAAAGTATTTGTTGCTTTTCCTTTGTTGTCCCATTGCTTTGAGGTTGAGGTATAGTTTAGGGTGCACTGGATTATTCTGCACTCTAGTGTATTGTTATTGACGGAGAAGTATCTGGTGTAGAAAAGAAGGGTAAACTTTTGTCGAGTTGAGTGTAATTTTTCAGTTCATCTGATTTAGATCCCCTATTATCATCATGTTCACTGCCTACCACATCATCTTCAACATTTTGAAATGACAAGTTCACACTACTGGCTTGTGATCTATTACTCTTGACATTAATTTTAGTGTCAATACCATCTTTAATTTTTTGACCATCTTACAGTTTGTTATGGTCAGTTGTGAAGTTGATCAATACTCTGTCACCGACCTAGAAACACTGATGGCTTCCTGATAATTTTAACAGGATGAGTGCAAACGGGTGTCAACGGAGGGGCAGAACTTGAGATTAGATTTATCAGTCAAGTTCCAAGATGCAATAAAGGTTTGATTCCATCTTCTTATCTTCTATAGGCCACCTTTTCCTTAGGGAATTGAATTGTAACTACCGTTGACTTATTAATCCAAGCATTTCCTATTATATACTACAAAACATTTCATGTACTACTATACTCTACAACCATGAGATATTTTAAAGGTACAAACACCCAAAGTCCATATATTTTGCAACTTAACATTCCGAGTGTGTTGGAAAGTAAAAACAGACAATATTTCTTGGTTTGTACTTTGTTGTATCGTGATTATATCTAGTAGAGATTCAAGAAAGAACATACAAGCAATAAGGGTTCAGTTGAGTAACAAGCATTTTTGTATTCTTTCCGAACATCAGAATTCAGAACTACTTCCTTTCTATTTTAAAAGAAAAAAATTATTGGTTCGGTTCCTTATTTGTTTTCTTTAATGCATGTTTTCTGACATTAAATTCCTATGGTTATAGGATGTGAGCACTAAATTGGATGAGCAAAAGGAAGAATGTATCTCTCAGCTAAAGGAGAATGAAATGTAAGACCCAGATGTCGTTGGAAATAAGCTTGCTATATCTTGCAGAAAATACCATAGCAAAACGGATTTACTTACCTTGGAGATCCCTAGCATGTGTGTGTCTCAACGAGACCAAACTTGATCAATTTCATCCTAAGTGTCATATATTAAACTTTTTCCTTATAGGAGGGTAGTGTCATGTATTATTCATTACAAAAGTTTGACAGCTCGGTATCTCTTTTTTCGGTTCAATTGGCTGATTCATGCCATTGTTTTATTCCCTTTTTGGTTGTCCTTGTGCTTGCACTCATCATATAGGCTTCTATAATTTATCTTTATTGTGTTAAAATTAGATAATTAACATTCATTCATTTTCAGGTTAAGAACTAAGCTCCAGCAGCTCACTTATCAGCACACTCTTTCTGAACAGCAATATGAACAGAAGGTAAAATTTAGCTGTAACTTGTATGAATGACGTTAGGTTAGTTATAATGATAGTTTAATTTATTAGGTAGGGACTTAACTTTTCTGTAGTGGTTTTGTTTTGGATTAAAGCAGAAATCACTGGAGCTTCAAATTGCTGATTTGAAGACTAAGCAGCATGAAGAGAAATTACTCCAGGAACAGTCCCAGATGAAATTATATGCGGAACAGGTGTCACAGTTATTATCAACTGAAAAGAATTTGCGCTTACAGTTGACAGCTGATGGAGAGAAATTCCAACAGTTTCAGGTTATATTCTTCTGTCTTACGCATTGCTTTTACCCATTATTATGAAACCTTGTCACCAGAACCGGATGAGTTATTGCTTGGTTAGAGGCTGTCAATATTTCTCTGCAGAATTCTCAGAGTACAAAACTATGTTGGTCCATTTGCCCTTTAGGCTCTAGGTGTGTTAGTTATGGGGTATGCTAGTAGGTTGAGTCTCACGTGCATACACTTATAGACGTTTGGTTGTTGCACACATAGTATGTCATGCAATATCATGAAACAAAGAAAAGACCTTACCTTGGTTTTTGCTGGATATATTATTAACTTGTGCAATTTTCATGACATGATACAATTTGTGTCCTTAATTTACTTGGAATTATAAGTCCTAGTAGTTAACAGGTGAGATGTAGGCAAAAACATGGTAACTTTCAAGTCTCCTTGGACTTTTTAAATCATTAAATGTGCTTAGACTTTGGGTTTTCTTCCAACGTGTGCGTTCATTAGACACTTGAAGAAAGTCATCCTGCTCTTGTGTGCTCAATTTGGAAATCTTGATCACTCTTCTTTCAAAATGGATCCTTAAGATACATGGTAGAGCACCTTACGAGTGCTGAATGTTTGTGTTATCAGCGTACAAATCTACCTGGTCTAAACTGATAATATTTATCGTGCAGGATGCATTGTTGAAAAGCAATGAAGTTTTTGAGACATTTAAACAGGAGATTGAAAAGGTGACATATTCATTCAAATTACATTTCATTTAGATACTTTCACTGCTTTCTCCAGTGCAGCATAACTCGCGTTATATGTTCATCTTCAACTAACCTACCTTTCTGTTTGTTACATGTGCAAAACCCTAGATGGCAAAGTCCATCAAGGAACTCAAGAAGGAAAACTTATTCTTGAAGAGCAAATGTGAGAAAACAGATGTCACTCTTATAGAACTTGTAGACGAGGTATAGTTTGCTTGCACTTTGTTTTTCTTTCTTTGCATTAGTGATCAATCAACAGTAAACATCAAACCGTTCTGATGCTTTATTAAGGAACAGTGCAGATGAGGTATAACACTGATTTTCTGTTGGTCTGAGCAGCGTGAACGGTTGAAGAAACAGTTGGAGAAAACAAAGAACCAGAAAGAAAAGCTTGAATCATTGTGCCGGTCACTTCAAGCAGAAAGGAAACAGAACTCCACTGGGAGCAACAACTCCGATTCTGTTCCATCTTGAACACCGCTCTGCTCAACTGTGTAACTTAAAAACTGATTTTGATGACCACCATTACAAATGTTACCCCGTGTACTTATTTTTGCTATGACTTGTTTTTCAAGAAACGGGAACAAGAGACGTGTGATATTGCGATGAGTGTAATTCATACTCGTTTATTTAGCAATATTTGTATTATTTTGCTTCACTAGATTGTATCCTCTCAATGTTTAACTCGCAAAATCGAGAATTGTTTTTGTTCATTTACTTTGTTTTCGTATTTATACTTTTCGGTTGTAACTCTTTCCGTATGCATTTTCTTGCAAGGTAGAAGCTCTCCATATCCTACCCTTGCTGGATGGATGTTATTCCAATCCATGATCCATAAACATGATTAACAAATAATTTGAATTCGTGGTAAACCATCCGGCAAACTTTAGTTTATGGCATGTTAGGGACTGATGGTCAAAAGTGCTTTCATACAACCATAAGTGCTTCCAGTTATGTTTGGCAGGAAAGTTTATAAGTACTTATGCGTAGTAGAAAGCTTTTCAAAGAAGGTTTTTCTCCACAAGACAGGTTCAAGTGCTTTTTTTCATTAAACACTAACCGAAAAGGTAGGATTTAGACACTACATGATTCCACTGTCACTCATGCTAAGCTATAGAATGTTCACGGACAGGATTGGGACAAATAAGTAATGCAGTCCGAAGAGCATGGATGAACCGAGAACATTGTCGCGTTGTGTTACTACTCTACGTGTTATAAATTATAATATAGTTGGGCGATTTAATTGACATTTTCACTTTAACCCCCGACAACAAATCTTTGTATAGAAGTATGATCATGTCCGTTGCACATCTGTCGGAGAATGATCAGGAAAAACCGTTTCTTGTTTCACTCTCTGAGCAAATAAACAATGAACCCTATGGCCGTGGCGACAACCCAATGCCAAAAGATGGGAGACCAAAAGCCACAACAAGGCAATAAGAATGTCGTCAATGGGCGTTTGTTGGAGACCAAGGGAGCAAATATTCCACTGTGGCTCATGAAAACTCCCCCGCGCGTCTCTCGCTGTCTGAAACCTGATTTCTCAGCCGCCGCCGCTGCCTCCGCTTCTGATCAGCAGCAGTCTTCTCCCCCTGTGGCCAAGGTGGTTTTCTGTTTGGACCCTATCACCAAGACAACAGAGGTACTTTCTTCTTCTTCTTCTTTATATATATATGTGTGTGTGTGTGTGTGTGTGTGTATTATACGCACACATGTTCTTCACTCAATCACATTGAATTGTCAACGTTTTTGCGTTTTGGGTTTTGAGTTCCTCCTTTTTTGTGCATGCATTGTCGTTTCGGGCCGTGATCTTTGTTTTTCTTTTGCATTCTGTTGTTTCTTAACATTTTGCCTTTGATCGTGTGGATTTCTCTGTTTTTGATTGTCAGATGTGGGTTCAATAGGTTTAAGCTATTTTATGGGTTTAATAGGTTTAAGCTATTCTATGCACACTAGTTTGAATCCCCTGTCGGCAATTTTGATTAGTTTAAAGTAGAATATTGAAAATTGTGCTACTTAATTTTGCGCAGTTTTTGGTCAAGTTCTTAATGTTTATAATGCCACTAATCTTCGCATATACATCCTTGTTTGTTGCCTTCCTTGCAGATGTTCTTCCTCTAGGCACTAATGCACACAAGTTCGAATTCCCCTCCCCCACATTTTAGATTAGTTTAAAGTAAAATATCGAAAATTTTCTGCTTAATTTCGTGTAGTTTTGGGTTATAGTCTTCATGTTTATAATGCCACTCATCTGTGCATACATACATCCTTGTTTTGTTGCCCTTCCTTGGTTACCAAGTTGTTTAAATGACACTCAGTTCACCATGGAACTGGCGGCCACGGAATCTGAAAATGTACCCAAGTGTTACGCTTTGGAGATGAGTAAAAACAAAATTCCAATGTCTGTGTTTGCGGAGTCATCACAAGGTAAGCATTCCCTCTTTCCCCCGTGGCTTTTTCGATACTGAAATGCAATCGGCTTGATGTTATGATGCTGCTGTTCTTGTTGGATATCCACTTTGCTTTGACATTGTTCTGCTGAGAGATACATTGCAGAGTTTTCCGCTCGTTTTTTTTTTTTTTTTTTTTTTTTTTTCTGACTGCTAACATGGTAAATGGTACTTCCAACAGATTGTTGCTGCGTAAACTGGTTTGTGTTGGGAGGGAAAGCAAGTTTTTGGGCCATTAAGAAATGAAAATACCCGAGTTTATGGATTCGGGTTCTTAAATTCGAATATATATATCCTCAAAGAACAGTTTAATATCACTTATTCCATTGGAAATACATGCTTTGAGGGATTAATACTCAAATCAGAAACAATGTGTTAAAAATTGTGAAGATTATATTTACTTCGGCACAGCCACGAGCACTTATGAACTTTAGCTGTCAGTGTGGTGATCTTAACTGAATGTCGAAATTCTATATCATCATAGGGACTTTATCCGTTGAGGGCTACATATTGGACAAACTTGACATGAAACCCCATAACGAGAACCTTGAGAACTATGGGAAACTTTGCCGCGAACGGACCAAAAAATCTATGAAGAGTAGAAAGATCCAGGTACCCCGAACTACTTTATATATTTGTTCTCATGCTCTATTTGGGTTATCTAATACTCTATTCCAGTAATATATCCACAAATTTGTCCATTTTTCAAATTTCAGGTGATGAACAATGACAATGGGGCTCATATGAGACCCAGGCCTGGGATGATGATCGGTTTTGTGTCTCCTGGACCCAGCGTGCGTATAGCTACCCTCTTCTTCTGCACTATTTTCTCCAGTAAAATTATTCCTTGTTTCCCTTAATGCACTCACATCACATCATTCCGCTCCGCATTTGTATGTCAGAATATAAGTTCACCATTGATTATCCACCATTGTGTTAAGCATAAGTAGAACCTGTCTTTCATATAGGAGAAAAAGAAAATGCCAACGAAGGGGTCAGACATGAAAAGAACAAGGAAGGACCGCGGAGAAATGGAGGATATTATGTTTAATCTCTTTGAACAGAAACCAAACCGGACGTTAAGGCAACTGATCCAAGAGACAAACCAACCAGAAGTATGTTATGTTTTCCACTTATTTTCTTCCTGCTTGCCTTGTAATATCTGGTTTACAGTACTATCATAATCTTTCCCCTTCCAAATCAATGTAAGATCTTTCCGTTTCCAAGTTTCTGCTGCATAGCACGAAATTTAGGCAACCAGATTGCTACTTTTTAGTTTTTACCATGGAGTAGCATGATCGAGAAACTAAATCTTCAACGCATTTTTGATGCGAAAACCATTGTTTAAAGGCAGCTACATAAGAAACTGTACCCTACATTATGTCATACAAACCCTACTCTCGGTTAGATATCTGATACCGGGAAATCTAGAATTTTTGTATCGCCGGAAATACATGGGAGTGGCATTAACGCTGAAAGGTAAAACAGACCAAACCCAAGACTCCATTCTTTTGAACTTGCAACACCAATGAGGGTGATGATATTGATTAACTGTGAGCCTTTTTGTTTTATCATCATTATGTTGGTACATTAGGAAAATCCACCGTTCTTATGAATCGATGATTTGACACTGAACTTGTTTTTGGCAGCAATTTTTGAAAGACATACTCAAGGACCTCTGTGTGTACAACAACAAGGGAGCTAATCAAGGGACGTATGAGCTGAAACCGGAATACAGGAAATCCGTCGAGGAGCCAACTCCCGATTAGGTTGTATGATATAGATTTAGTCTCTTTTCCGGGCAGATACGTCTCTTAAGTGATCATTGCTAGTTTTGTTTCTTCTAATAAAACTGACTTGACTCTTCCTTTTTAGCAGAACCCGAATGTGTTCTTCAGCGTTCGGTATGAGCTAGCCGAAAAATAAGAAAATTGCAGTGTACATTTTCAGTCTCAAATTGACTAAAATTCAGTATAAAATGGTTAATAATTGGTGATTTTTATGAAAATGTTTATTTTTGGTCCTTGGCCTAAAGTCTAACTGCCCAAATAATACAATATGCGACAAAGTCCAAATTTTTATTTTTATTTTACGTCAGCCGTGACGTGGGTTTTAGGGGTACATAACTAAAAGCATATGGGCACACGCATAAAGTGTGTTTTAGGGGTACATAACTAAAAGTATATGGGCACACGCATAAAGTGTGTGAGAATTTTTTTCTATTTTTGTTTTTGAAATAGAAGGAGAGAGGAAGAGAGTGATAGAGAATGTGGGAGTCTGAAATTTTTTATTTTATTTTTATTTTTATTTTTTAATTAGAGATATGTTAGGATTACATGTAGGTGAGACTTTGAAAAAAATAACAAAATTTGGTTGTGTGAAATTACATTTCTGTCTTATATTTCTTATTCATGTTCTGTTTTAATTAGAGGGTTAAATTAGTGATTTCATAGGGTTTTGGTTAATAATGAGTGTTTCACTAATTAGTAGAGATGAGATTATCAGTCTTCCAATTTCACACGTATGATAAGATGTGGTTTATTATAATAATTGAATTGATAATATTACGTGATGTTCTGACTATAAATGAAACTTTTAACCAAATGCACATTAATTTTGTTACTCTTAACAAATAAGTTCCTTAAAACTCTAATTTTAATATAAATAACGCTTGAATCATCATTTTGAAAGAATAAATTTTGTACAAATCACTTATCATTTATGAGAAAATCGTCTTTCTTTGTCGGTTAGAAACGCTTATCATTTTAATATATTTATACCTCTTTTCTCGAAACCTTAGTTATAAATCTTTTTAGTATTTAAAAAAATAAATATAAATAAAAATAAAAACTCAAAGACTCAAATTATTGCGCGTAGCAGTAACAATCCATCAGTGAAATATATAGTTTGACTTGAGAATATTCCTCACTAAAAATAAACAAGGTGACCACTAATTTACTTTAATAATATATTTAAAAAAGCAAAAGTACCAACTTAACTACTACTAGTGGAAACATGACTTGCCAAAATAAAAATGTGAAACATATCTCCTAGTAATTGCTTTACCCACCAACACCCACTCTACCACTCATGAATCATCCCTTCCATGAGAAAAATATATTATACATTTTCCTCATTTTCAAAATAATTGAGGTCATATTTGAAAACGCTTTTAAAAATAATGTTTTTTAAGTTCTAAAAGCACATAAAATATTTTTTGTAAGAAGAATTAGTTATTTTATGTGATCTCAATTCTTTTCCAATATTTACTTGCATTTTACTAAGAATTTGCTCCAAAAATATTTCACTAAAAACGATTTCAGACATTTCAAAAGCACTTCCAAATAAATCATTAGACAATGAAAAATTATAAATCAACCCCACCAGAAAAACAAGAGTAATGCTATTTATATCATGTTTTTATACCACATTTTCATACCACTTTAGGTGGCAATTGATGTGAACAGCTACATCATTTGAATTAATTAGATTTTTAAATTTAGTTCATTATTTAATAAACTAATAATTAAGAAAAACTAGTTAATTAAATGATGATTTTGGTATACGAGAAGTTTTTCTCCTTCATTTCCTTGAGTTTTGCAAATTTTTCAAATGATGTGGCTATCCATATCAGATGTCAGTATAGAAATGTAGTATAAAAATATAGTATGAATAACATTATTCGAAAAACAAATATAAACAGAAAAAGCACGTGGTGCACACACCAAGAGCGACTTGGACCGCCGCACCCCAAAAATTGGAAACGCTCGGCAACTCGCCACGTCAGATGTTTGACCAAAATGCCGCAGGCCCCATTCGCGTTCCTAAATCCCAGACTCAAGGTAAAAAGCGTGTGCTCACCAGACGACGTCGTCTTCATCCTCTCTCAAGCCCTTTCTCTCTCTACAAAACACAGAAGGAAGGTCAATATTTTCAGTTCCACCAAACACACCGATACCTTTCCTCTCCATCTTCTTCTTCTTCTTCTTCTTCTTCTTCTTCCTCATCCTCTAGCTTTCTCGCTGTCATCGGATTTTTGCCCCTCCGAAAAACCTCTCTCAAGGTACGATTTCTCTCTCCTCGCTTTTCGGTTCTTGTAATTTTCTGGTTTCTGATTTGCGGTTTCGTGAATCGTGATTGTAATTCTCTGAAGTTTCTGCATTTCTTGGCTTTAATGTTTCTTGGATTCGTAATCTTGCTTGAATTTGTGCTGCGATTGATGTGTTTTGGTGGATTCTTGGGATTCTGGGTTTTGAAATGAGTTGAGTAATGTGTTTTGCTTGAATTGAATCTTGAGAATTTCGAGTTTGGTGTCGGATTTGAGTTCATGCACGATCTGGGTTAATGGGTTTTATAGTAGTCTAATAGCTGATTAAATTATAATTTACATTAATGGTTTGTTGTGGATTAGTCAAGATCATAATTTTGATGACAACTTTCTTGAAGTTCTTGTGTCTGAGTATAATCTATTTGTTTTGGGGCTTTTGGCAGTAGGTTGGTTTAGAACTTTAAGAAATCTTTAATTTTCGAATGGGTTATTTTGCAACAACTGATGCTTTCGATGGTTCTTAATCGTTTGGTTCGACCCGGATTTGATTTTCTTATATGCTACTATATGCAAGAGAGAGGATCGATGTCTGATTTCAGACTTGTTGATATTTTTGGTGTATGTGTATTCTTGCTCATGGTTTTGTGGCGGAGTTACTGATTCTTCATTGTTCCTCTGTGCGCAGGTTAATTTTTACGGCATTAGAGATGGATTCCTTATTCAATTTCAAAGCTCCAAGTGACGATTGTGTGCCGTCTGAGCTTGACATTCTCAAATGCCCATTTTTGAGAAACATCAATGAGCCCACCAATTTTTCCTTCGCCTCATCCTTGGCGTTCCCAGTGCCTGTAAGTTATCCTTTTTCCGATTTGAATCTACTATTGTTGCCTAGTACTAGACTTAATTGAAATTGCAGCATTTTCCTGACATTGCTTTCTTCTTTTCCTGATCAGGGACGTGGAGCCAAAGGTCCAATTTTTGAAGATGGTCCCAATTTTGACATGGCGTTTCGGCTTTTCCATGGGAGTGACGGAGTTGTCCCGCTTTCTGGAAGATCATATGTGCATTCTGACATAGTTGAGCCTCAACCAGCCCCACCTGTGTTTAATCCATTAGCTGCAAGGGCAGCTACGATCAGTCTCTCATCCTTTGGTGCTGGAGGGCCATTCAGTTTCGATGCATTCCATAAGAAATGGAAGAACCAACAAAAGAAAGCTAATTCCTCGAAGAAGGATTCTACTTCAAAGGTAAATTGACTGTTGCTTCTAAGTACTAATTTCCTGGCGTATTGAGTAATTGAAACTGCCTGTGATTTTGTTAGTTTTTTGTACTTTGTGTCATTGAACAAATTTCTAAAAATGGTTGAAATTTGATGTTGCAGGGAGGAAATTCTAATCACGAGGCAGTGAGCAATGAGTGGCTGCAATCCGGAAGCTGTCCGATCGCAAAGTCATACCGTGCTGTTAGCGGTGTCATTCCACTAGTCGCAAAGGCTTTTCAGCCCCCTCCAGGCATGAAAATCAAGTGCCCGCCTGCAATAGTTGCAGCCCGAGCAGCCCTGTCGCGAACTGCATTTGCAAAGAACCTCCGCCCGCAACCCCTTCCTGCAAAAGTACTTGTGATTGGAGCAATGGGCATGTCAGCCAATGTTCCTTTAGGGATATGGAGAGAGCACACCCAGAAATTCTCACTATCTTGGTTCGCGGCCGTGCATGCAGCCGTCCCATTCATAGCCGTACTCCGGAAGTCTGTGCTGATGCCTAAATCAGCCATGGCGTTTACCATTGCCGCATCAGTACTTGGACAGGTCATTGGCTCCAGAGCAGAACGGTACCGTCTGAAAGCAGTGGCTTCTAAAAAATTACCTCTGACTGAAACCTCCGCTGGTGGTGCGACGAGCGAGTTACAGGTGCTCCAGGTGAAAACCGGTCACTGCAATGCAATTGAGGAGTGGAATTCAGTTGGCCTTCAGGTAGCGCGTCCTTCGTCATCCACAGATGTGTTCTGCTGATTTCTTTGTATTTCGATGGCTGCGGATCGATCCGTTCCATCGTCTCTATGTACTATGCAGGGTATATAATTCTCTGTTCCATATGTGACTCCAAACACTGTCCAAGTTTTCTGAAGACTTGAGAGAAGAATAAATATATAATGCGGATGACCATTTTTTCATCAAGGTATTTCCTTATTGTTTTTCCCTTCCAGTTTTATGGTTTTGTGTAGAATTTTGTGGTTTCGAGGCATTTCCTTATTTTCTTCATTTCTTGTACGTTGGCCGGCGATTGTGGCTACAACTTGCACGCTTAACTGGTGGTTCTCTCTTCATCCCTCATCCTTCGGATACCCAAGTGAGGGTGAGGTCTCGTTTTTAAGTAGTTTTGAGTTTTGACTGAGTGCTTTTGACATCATCAATTTCATCCAAAAACGTTTTGAGTCATTTTAAATGCACTTTCAAACGATCCTTACTCGTTAACATTACGAATGTCAATCATGCTGCCGATGGAGTGCTTTCGACAAATTTAAGGTGATTGAAGGCAGAGACGTCAAAGATCGCGAACATGGAATAAATGTTTCTCCATCCATCCCTCTTCCCAACTTCTGTATTTTTTTTTTCCCATAAAATACAACAAATTCCCATAAAATACAACAAATACAAGATGCTCCTGCTTCTGCTGCCAACATTACAACCACCTAATAAATTAAAAAAACAAAAGCATTTTACCCAAAAGACAAAAGAAAAAGAAATAGACGGGGACTTCTAAACCGTCCGTTTTTAGCCTATCATGTCGCTGACTGCATTGAACCAACACCAACCAAAAACTATTATACATGGCGCAGCAAATAAACAATTTGCCACTG